ATTCCACTGTATTCAGAAGACGGGAAAACAGTATAGTTATACATGAACGCCATCATCAAGGGCTCGTGGAAAAATGAGAATTTTTGGTCAAGCCCAGAGTTGGTGCAAGCCACTGAACGCGTTGAGGAAACCACCGAGCGGATGTCGGTTACACATGTTGATTGGGTGCAGCATCACTGAAGAAAAAAGTAGCAAAAAAGATATTCCAGAAAATTTCGGCGTAGGTTAGAATATATATAAATATATATATTCGTCACAGTAACCTTATTTGCAACACCGGGTAACCATTGAATAGACAGCTCTTGCAGAGCCAATCCAATGAAGGATCAATGCTATGATTCGATGTTTTGTAAGTGGGTTCGGTGCTACTAACCGCAACAAACGTGACCTGATGGTCTTGGTAGAATATTTCATAGTAAGTAGTATGTGAATGACTGGAAAGGGAAATTCTGTCCAGTCATTCACATACTACTTATTATGATATATATATATATTCCAATGATAAGTTACCAGATCACAGAGGTAAAAAGAAAGTTTATTAATCAAATAGGAATACATAGTTTCCAGCTATCGATTGGATAATGTCAAATTAGGGATACCTGTGGCGCTTAACATAGGATGTAAAATAAACTTACAGTAGCAATTTGTTCTATCAGATTTGAATAGTACATCAATCGCTGTCCGCACTGATATCTCTAGCATAAACCTGGCATTTTTCTTAATTTAGAAGTAAATTCCACGTATGATTCTAGTACAATAAGTTGAGTAGTTTTGCATCTCAAATTGCTCTCCACGACGGAACGTTTGCACATCCAGCCATCTTTTCCTCGTCGTTTTGAACTTTCTAAGACTGACGTCCTTGCTTCTTTCTTACAGCTGGATGTATTTGTTCTCGACTGGCATGCTTTTTCACAGTGAGTTTTATTCGTGTTCCATCCACATCTGATTGAGATGTACCCATCATTGAGAAAAAGCCATTATTGGGCAAACAACCTTCAATTCACCACACACACATCTATGAGTATATATATATACTCAATTCACTGCAGCGGTAGGCAACATACGCCTTGAGACCTCTTCTTTGTGTGCCAAAAGGCAATTTTTGCAAACATTTAACCTCCCGCGATGCAACCGTCAGCACATGAACCGTTCAAGAGCATAGGAAAAAACCATAATCTACTCCGAGTAAAATCAATACCTGAAGTGAGCAACAAATATGACCCGGAGTTTCGAAAATGGAAACCAACTTCTCCTTTCCCCACAAACCGCTTTCTTCGTTAGCTGTATACACGGTACCGCTTAGGTTATGACACTGAAAACGAGCTCTTTTATCAGTAATCTGAAATCAGAATTCGTCAAACTAATCGACGGTAAGATGCAACTTGCCAAGGTGATGAGAAGCCACATCAAACCAACAGCATATAATGCATTTACATGAAGCATGGTCCCCAAGGATGACTCCAGTGGAAAAATGCGCCAAATACGAACTGCATAAGTTTCTTTATATGGTCGGTTTATAGGACACATATTAACATACTAATACTTACCATACAGGATACAATTGGAGTAATCTAAGTGAAACAGCATGCTCCAACCTTGCTGGTTTTGATGGCTAAAGAGGACTGATCTAATCGTTATAGTCATCGTCAACTCAGGAGAACTCAATTACTCAGCCACACAAGCGCGCGCACATCACGTGTTTCGAAAAGCGTGATAGACCGGTTGTTAGGCGTAGAAACATATGTGACTAAAGCTTGTGAACACAAACCGTCTGGATGACACTATGAACAGCATGTGCCGGCTGTAGAACAGCTTGACGACAATACACCGTCTGATTTGACCCAGTCCCAGGATGTCAGATTGCATGCGCCATCTCTGTGGCGAATACCACAGGCACTGTGTGCACATGCGCGCACGGACAAACGAACGTCACCGTGTGCGAGGAAATGGGAAATGAGGCACGGGGTCAAACAGAATGAGTCACACAGGACATGGGAGACAGGATGAAGATATTGGTACATGCAAGCCACACTTGTCTGACGGTACACACACACACACACACGAACACCACTCGGAAGATAGATAACATCGTACGACGTACGGTTGCACGTAGTGC